TGTTATATACTGTATGCTTGAGTTGATACATATCCGCGTCGAAATATTAGAGTGACGGATGGTGATATGAAAAGGGGAGTAAATATCTTTTTCACATGAAACTTATTTTTAAAACAAATTAAAATCAAGACTATTTATAGAGAGAGAAAATTCAACAATTTCTTTANAAAAAAAAAAACTCTAAAGGCCAAATTGGATGAACATTGATGTCAACCACCACGTTACTTTGACAACGGAGCCCAATTTGAGTGGTAAGACGCTTCACCTATTACCGATAGGTTATGAGTTCGAGTCACCGAGGAGGGGAAGTAGAAACACTATTGATCCTCCTTTTAATATGAAAGAAAAAAAGAAAAAGACCACACTACTTTTAAAAACGTACGCAAGAAAAATTTTGGCGTTTTATCTCCAAATTCCCCGCCCTACGGAAACCTTCCTCTGCGAAATTGCGGCTCCCCTTCTTCCTACTGGCCGACCGCATCGCCTCTGTTCCAGCCATGCCAGAGCCGGCGTCAGAGGCCCTGTTTCCCGCCCTTCTTGTAGCCCTTGAGGGGGATCCAATTGAGCCAAGGTTGTGGCGGCCGAATAGCTGTTTCACCTATAACCCCTGGCCGGTCTATTGGAGCCCTTGGCTCCAGTTCGTCAGAACAGTGTCCAGGCAGTAGCTCCCTCTCGGCCTTGCATTGCTTTTGGCGGTCCCCTCTGGACCTCGGTTTTGGACTCCTCCGGCATGGCTCATCGAGTCTTCTCTCTGGACGTCCTCTTCCCCCCATGATTAACGGCTTCAGGAGCTCATATCTGGGCTAAGGTTGCCTCCTAGCTAGATCTGACTAGCCGGTAGTAAGCTGGAGTTTTAGGTCTGGTGATTAGTTCTGTCGTTCTCTTTGTTTTTCGATTGTGGGGTTTGGATTGTTGCGAGGTTTGGTTCGTGTGCTGGTCTGAGTGGTCGACGTGTGTGCTTGCTAAAAGTTGGGGAGGTAGTATTGTGCTATTAGTATAGGTGTGTGTTGATAGTTTTAGTATAGGTGTGTTTATTTTCTCCTTGTGGGGAGTTGTAGTCTCCACTTGTTGGAGTTTTAAGTTTTTTCATTGGATTGGGTTTCAAGCATACCGGTTTCAGATATTGTTGCCAATGTCGAATGCTTGCACCCTATTTCATTTGTTTTTGTTTTTCGTCTAGGGCGCTTCGGTTAGCACTCATCCTTGAGTTCACCTTGGTAGATTCGTAACGTCCGTTAGCATTCGGGTCTAATCTTGTAAATCTCTTTTTTGATGTATAAAATCTATCGTTTTGAAAAAAAAAAAAACCACCATGCTACTTTTGAGCAAAGAAATGAAATTACGATTTAAATTATGGCTTTTGCTACAAGTGGTTGAAGCCATTAACCTACTTAAGTTACCCAATTAGACCAGCTCCAACCCATAACCATAATTGTTTATTTGCACTAGAGTGGAGATTAATTCTCCTCCAACTCGTCGCCAGACCGTCGCGCTAATGTGAATTTATGAACAGTGTTGCGGCTGTTCTGGGGCAACATTGTAGCACATCTCTACTTAAATATGAATTTATTATTTATTGATTTATTTATTAGCAAATATACTTATTATATTAAATTATTTTTTTATGTATAAACATAATTTTATTATTTGGGTAACAAAAATATATATAAGATTAAATATAAATATTTATTAGAAGTTATTTAAAATAAAAACTCAATAAAAAATAACATATTTGCTGTAAACTAAAATATAGCGCCAACGAATTCAAATAAAATTAGATATTTAGCTTATAATAAAGAAGAATAAACTCTACACTAGAGTAGAGAGTTGGAGATAGTGTTTTTCAACCCGAACTGGCCCGGCAAGTTGACCCGGGACTTGGAGTCGGAACCGGTCCAGATGGGCTATTCGGACCGGGCAACAAAGGACCCGGTCAAAACTCGGTCAACTCGGCCTTGACCCGGTCGACCCGGGGCATTGACCCGGCTGGGCCAACCTGGTTGACCAGGCCCCTATATAATTATTTTATTATTTTTTTATTTTTTAAAATATTTTTATTTTTAAAAAATAAAACTATGTATATATATTTATATGGCAAAATATTTATCATGAAATACATATTATTAAGGTTTTAATGTATAAATTTTATATACAAAAACTTTAATTTTGTTACTTTTATGTATATTTATATGATAAATACTCTATATAAAATTAAAAAATTTTAAAATTTATTATTCGGTTCAACAATTGACCCGCTGACCTGGCGGTTGAACTGGTGACCCGATGATCCGAAGACCTGCCAGGGTCAATTACCGGGCCGGATTTAAAAACTATAGTTGGAGATATTTAGAGAAGTTGTAATAAAGAAGCAAAGTTAAAGTTGATAGCTCTTTGTACTCAATTTTTACAGGTATATTTGAAGTATTTCCAAAAGGTTAATAACAAAATTTATGCTTTTCTTTTGATAAAGAAATTGTCCATACTGTTGGAAAGAATCTTTTTGGAAATGTAGTTACTTATGGTCCCAAGTAATCATTTTCATTTAATCACAAAAATTAGGGCACCAATGGCTGAGTTATGTGACGCGTCCGCCAGATTATTTATGTTCACAAGTGTTAGTGGGCAATTAATTAAACTCATTACTTCATTGAAACGCAATTATATCACCANTTTTGTCACAAAACAATGGTACATATCTCAATCATTGGAGGCTATTTGAAAATACTAACTGCTAAAAAAGAAGCTGAGACTGTTCAGTCCTGAGTCACATTGCGAAATGGGATAATAAGTACGAAAAATTGGTCTAGGAGACTCCAGGTGATTCTTCGAGGGTATACCTAGATAATAATCATCCGTAAATCCTCGTTTGGAAAAATTGCGAAAGAAAAAGAAGAAAAAAATGAACACAGGGAAACTTTTAATTTCGCTATTGATCTTATTTTGACAATGTATTGCGTTGGCTTGTAGTTGTCTTTATTTGTTGAAAATCTTATTATAGTACACTTATGTTGCCATGTGTAGATTTGTAAAAGTTGGTTTGTGATGAGTCAACCATGTGTGGAAGAGCATTAGATATACCTTATTTGGTATGATTCTAGATTGTTGGAAATATATTTTCAAATTGAATGTTGAATATAAGAATCCCGGAGTAAAATGAGTTTGACATACTTTGGGACATGATAAACTAGTAAATAAATTTATCTTCTTGAAATGTTAGCGAGATTGTTTGCTTGAGGATAAGCAAAATGCTAAGTGTGGGGGAGTTGTTTTGTATGTTTTTATCGTTATTTATGTGTTTTTAAGTAATTTCTTTATTTTCATTTTAGCTTTTTTTAGGTTTTTTCCTGTCTATATAGTCGTTTTTGCTCGTTTTTGTGTTTTCTAGTCGTTTTAGTTGATTTCTCTTTTTATAATTTATTTTGTAGAAAAATGCAATTCGGAATGTCAACAAGAAATCCACCAGAAAGTGCTAGAATATTCAACCCAAAGTGCGTTCAATGTTTTAGAACGAATCAACGTCGTGCAGATTTTAATCGAGCGTTTGTTTTCACTAGGCCACTATTTAGCTGGTGTGTTACGAGCTCGCCTTAGCCTTCTCTGCGAACAACACCCGTCGACATCCAGCACTTGTGTGGACAACCGCACCCAACGCCCCCGTGCACGCCTACCTGCCTCGGTGACGCCCGTCGCACACAACGCCTGCCAGCCCTTGATGATGCTAGGCCTGACACTCGCCCGTAGAATGCTTTTCGCTGGGTCGTGAGTGGTTGAGCATGCACAGGCACAGTCATAAACGGACACGCGTTCGTGAGGTCGCGAGTCACCAACCACGCACATGTACACTCGCCCGCAGAAGTGCTTTCACTAGCACGCAAATCCGCCCTCTTTCGTCAGTTGCCCCACAAAAAGTTTTCCATAAAAACCCTCTGGCAGACTCGTGGGTCACCTACCGTTAAACAAGGGGACTCACTTTCGAACAACAGTGCGCAGGTCGCGAGTTCAACCAGCAGCCATCTCGCAGGTCGCCAACCGCACCCACCCACCAACTTGAGCTTGCAAGGTCGCGAGTCCTCGCCTTAGCATGCCCAAAACACTCGCCCATGAATTCTATTTCGTCGGGTCACAAGTTCTGATCATTAAATGTACATGTTTTAAGTGTGTTTTTGTAACGCCCCGTTTTATTTTAATAAAATCATATCATTTTGCATTGCTTTACTAAATTAATCTCGTTTGAGCTTTGATTATATTTTATTCTAAGTGCTATGTCGCGTATGTGAAAATTAATCAAGATATAAGGAAAATAAAATAATAATGCCGATAAATAAATAATCGAGAAAATTCATAATTCAAACGGGGCACTAAAGCATAAAATGGGAACTCGATCACCCACTTCGGCAGTAGATGGACAAATGGTCTTGCAACCTCGACGCGCGTTGGACTATCGTAAAATGTAGAAAGCCAGGCGTTTCTTTTGAGAAGTCCTTATCGAGTGGGACGAGTTGTCGGATGAAGAAGCTACCTGGGAGAGTCTTTATGAGATGCACAACCGCTTTCCATCCTTCATCTTTGAGGACAAGGATTTGCTTGAAGAGGATGGGAATGATGCGAATGAAGGTCGACTTCTCAAGAACGTCTATAGTCGCGCGTACCAGGGGCACAAAAGAGCATGTAGAATGGCTGAGACACACGGTGTTGAGCTAAACAAGATCGGGCACCACGAGATGGTCGAGGACTGTGAGGGGGTCGAACGGGTGAGGGTAGACCACGGGAAGATTGAGCACGGCGAGAGGGTCGAGCGCGCGAGGGTCAACCATGGTGAGAAGGTCGAACGCTTGAGTGTCGAACACGACAAGAGGACCGAGCACGCGAGGGTCGAGCGCGAGGAGATCAAGCTCAGAGAGCACGGGGACGTCAAGTAACATAAAGGTCGAGACACGAGCAACGGGTCGAGCTCGACCAATGATGCGACTGGTGAAGGTTGTAACGCTCATCTACTAGAAATGGCACGCCAGCGAAGCGATGGGCCCGATCTGCGCGGGTTTGGGGCTTGATCCTAGGGATGATCGTGCGGGCTTAAGACTTGCGATTTAGAAGTGCAAATCCCGGGTCTAGGAGCTGATATTATTTTCTTTGTATCTAGCTTTATCCTTTAGATAGGTTTAATCTCTGATTACCTATAAATACCTGTATTATCACTACTTCATTTGAGTTATCAAATTATTAATCTAAAAACCCGATCAGTTTGATCAACCATTGTGTGTTATTATTCTTTGAGTTCTAACATACAACATTGTGCAGAAAGAAGGCCTATTGCACGCCTTTTTGTACACCTTATTGCCCAAGAAGGAAGGCCCAGGCGCGTCCAATGGAGGCACACCGAGTAGCGAATACACGATCCTCATCACGCACCAAATGCGTCTGTCCTGCTGCGCATGCGACCAGCGCGCCAGTTGCACCCTACGTACCTTCCCCCAAGAAACTGAACACTCGGCACACCTATACTATGCACCCAAGCACCCGATCTACTTACTCCATGGTCCCGTTCACCCGCGCCGCCTACTCCCCCCGCGCTAGCCGCATCATTGGTCGCACCCCTGCACGCAATAGTTTCACTCACCTTGGCGGCTCGTCGATCCAATCTCTTGCGTGCTCGTCGCGCTCAATCATGCGCGTTCGCGGGTGAGAAACCTACATTCTCATCAACGTGCAGACACGCGGGCGCGAGCGCACGGACAGGTCAGGGCCTGAAGAGAGGACCAGAAGCAGGTCGTGTTAGATGCACGCGCAAGGTAGGCCAGCGGGGCGAAATTGTTTGGGACGCAAGAAGTGATGGAGTAAAGTGAAGGACAAGTTGGTTGGGAGCTTCTAGAAGAATTGCGGATCAAGCTTAGGATCTTGTAGAAGATTTAATTAGATTATTTATTTATTATTTTCCCTTTCCTAGTTATTTAGTATTTAGATTTCGGACATGTGTCTAATTAGTTATTTCCTTAGAATAGGATGCTAGACATATTATTTTCTTAGGCTTAGAATTCTAGTTTTCTTAGGATTAGACTTAGTTTATTGCTAGTCTTTAAATACGCATGTTATGTTCAAGTTTTTCATCACGGATTAAAGTCGATAAGAAAATTGTCCCACTTGCGCACAAAACTCGTGTTAGAATTCTTGTTGAGTTTTATCACAAAATCGTATTAGACAAAGACCAAAATCCGAGCTTTTCACATCCTATCGCAAAGTAGAAGGCTCAGTGCGCGTATTAGCAATTTATCGCGGATAATGAAGGTGGTTGGCTCGGGTTCGAAGCAGTTGAGATATATGATCTTCATCATTTTTTCGGGGCTTGACACCATCCGGAAGCATTTTGAATGGAGCTTGACACTGCCTAAGAGCATTATGTACTTGCGCATAGGCGACGCCAAGGTTTTTTCGAGGCTTGACACTGCCCAGAAGCATTTTTTACCTGAGCTTGACACCTCTTGGGAGTGTTAGGTACTTCGGCGTAGATTGCGCCAAGGTTTTGTCAAGGCTTGACACCACCCAGAAGAATTTTGACCAAGGCTTGATACAGCCAGGGAGCATTAGGTACGTGAGCATAGGCCGTGCCAAGATTTTGTTGGGGATTGACACCACTTCGAAGGGTGTTGACCGGGGCTTGACATCGACCGAGAGCTTTAGGTACTTGGGTGTAGGTCGTGCTAAGGTTTTTTTGGGGCTTGAGACTACCCAAAAGTGTTTTGCCTGGGGCTTGACACCGCTCGGGAGCATTAGGTACTTAGGCGTAGGCCACGTCAAGGTTTTTTCGGGGCTTGACACCTCCCGGGAGCGTTAGGTACTTGGGCATTTTTTGGGGCTTGACACCTTCCAGAAATGTTTTAACCAGGGCTAGACACCGCCTAATAGCGTTAGGTACTTAGGTCGCGCCAAGGTTTTGCAGGGTATACATTCTAGAGAAATCTTGCAAATCGACGTGTCGTTGGGAAACCTAGTCTAATGACCAGGTGTATCGGTCGTGGTCTTATGACGAATGAGGTACCCTATGGGAGCCAGACTCAATGGATTAGATTAGATCGATCGCTCAGGTGGCCATCTTGGGTACTCTATAGTCTGGTGATAGCTCGTGTTGAATTCGTTGTAACCGCGTTTTTGAAAGTAGCGTACGTGATCGTTTTTTTCGAAAGACATTCTTTTTTTTAGCTTTCGAGTGCGGATATTAACCGCGATCGAATTGTACTTATTTATTTTACAGTTCATCATGGGTCTTAGATCGTCGTGACGGTCTCTTCGTATCTGATCTTCTTTAATGATTTTTTTTCGATTGTTTCTTGGCTCAAAATTCGTCGCTTGTTGTGAAGCGATCATGATGCGCCACTTGTTTTGGTCGATCGCAGTGTATTTATCGTCTCGATTACGCCAATTGTCATATGATTAGTAAGAAGAAGCGATTGAAAGAGAAAAGATCGAGTGATCATAAATGTATAGTAATTTACGTAAAGTAATCATGAGTTCCCCAAACCACAATAAATAATTGATGGGATACATGAACATGTGTGACTTTGTCATTTTATACATCACTAAAAAATAAAAATTGCGTTATTCTAGGTTTATACATGTTCGAGGAGTTTCTTGATGGCTGTTGGTATCCTCTGGTTGTCTGTTCAGTAACCGTAGGATGATGACTAGCTGAGCAGTGCGCTTGTTTGTCAGGCGGGTACTTTTTCGAAGCAACACATAGATTGTCCTTTGCTCTTGCATGCAACCGTCAATGATGGTAGTAGATCGGCGGGGACTGTGCATATCAAGTTCTTGCCATGGGATGATATTGCGCCAAAAACGTACCATGGGGGCATCACTGCATAAAACCACAGACGCGTGTTAGTCGAAGGATCATCGTTGATAATGGAGGCGGCTTGTGGTCTCGACTGACCTTGATGGTTCATCTCGACCCTAGATTATATTACTTCCCGGGATTGCAATTTTGCCAGTCCCTTGGTTTTACGGCACCAACCCAACATGGAGATATTCAATGACACAACCATTAACAGGTTGATAGCTGGGAAGGTGGTTTCTGGAACTAAGTAGAGGACTATAGTCAAGTTTATTTTAAAAAAATTTGTCCAATCCTTCCTCAGACCCCCGACCTCGAGTAGATCGAGATTACTCGAGGAGAAAAAAATCGTTCACCCTCATGTTCTTGTCAAGGATAAGATGATCGATCAATTTTCTTGTCGAAGGTGGGTTGATAACAGGTCACGCAAAGGTGTCAGATTTGAGTTTTTTGTGAGAAGAAGAGGTGAACAGTCAGTATTTCAAGATTTTTGTGGATATTATGTTGGCAAAATATCGTGGTGATCGAGAACGAGTGGTTAGCTGTGCCGCCCATTCGCTCGACCGATCGTGGAAGAGAAAAGAGGGTCGGTTGAACCGTCCTTCTTGCGGGAGGAAGAAATGTTGTGATCATTTTTGTTACGTTTTTCTGTACTATTTTGTCGTTCTTTTTCCCCCGTTTTAGGTCTTTTTGTTAGTTTTTAGTTCATTTTATAGTTTATTGTGTGTTTTGTTCTATTTTGGTTTTTTATGTGTTTTTCGTGTATTCTGTCGTTTTTCTACGTTTTTCTTCTTGTTTTTAGTGTGCAGGTCGGAAGCCCCATGAGGAATCAATTTAGCTCAAAAACGGGTCGGGAAATCATGGTTGGATAGATGGGTTCCTTAGCTGCACATAGGAAAAAGCAGAATCCAATTTCGAGTTCGGACGGGTCCAAAACGCGAAGTCGCGCGAAACACGTTCAATGTGTAGGTCAAGAGCTTTGGGAGAACATTATTTCAAGAATAATTTTGGCCAATCAAGCATCATTGAATAGAGGAGTTCGTTAGCAACACATAGGAAAAAACGGAACTCAATTCCGAGTTCGGACGAGCCCAAACGAGCCCGAAACGCAAAGTCATGCAGCCCAGCCCCCCTAGCGCCGCTAGTTACCCTTAGCGGACTTCAGAGCCTCGACCATCTATACCCTAGCGCCGCTAGCACCCCCCCTAGCGGCGCTAGCTCCTGTTGGCAGACAAAACTTTCATCTTTTTCCCACAAAACATGGCATGAGTTGGAAAGCTCGGTAGTGGAGCACTTAGGGGACAAAACTCACCTGGAAATAAGGATTTTGGGCTATAAGAACATGCCCTCTTGATCATGGAAAGCATCATTCATGCATCCTTGAACCAAGGGGGGTTCTTCCCCCCTCTTCATCATCCTTCTACACCATCCTCTTCATCATCCTTCTACACCATCCTCTTCACCATCCTTCATATTCTTCTCCATTTTCTCTTAAGTTTTTATTTTGGTTTGTCATATTGTAAGAAGGAGCAACTTGGAGACTTGTTGTATCTTGGATTTGGCTTGTGCTTTGTTCTTGACATTGGAATTCACATTACTAGTAAGTTTTATTTCCATTAAGTGTATGATGATTATGGCTTTATTGAATGCAAATGCTTGTGTTAAGTCAATTATGAGTAACTAATCCTCTAGCTAGGGTTAAGGGATAATCATTCCGGTTTGTTCTTGTTTACGTGCATGACGATAGCTCAATCTTGACTAGTTGTTTTAATTATGAATTGATAAAACCATACTCGATAAATGGTTATAACCTAAGAGTGACACTTAGGTTAACTTATTGATAAAATCAAAGAGTGACACTTTGATTTGTGATTGAATATTTATTTGTTGAGTTAGAGTTTGTTAATTCTATGAATTGCGACTTGTAGAACCGAAAGGGGAAGAGTAGTAAAGATAATCGATTTCAAAACCGAGAGGGGAGAAATTGGTGGAATTTGGCTCGTTTAGAGTAGACATGTTCGGAGACGTATTGTCTATGTGTTACTTGTTTCGTTAATTCGCTCATTTATGTTTATCAGCATGTTTGGAGACGTATTGAGGTTAAACCGCTAAATGAGTTAATTAGTTGAGCCTTTTAACCGAGTTATTGATTGCCGTTAAATGTGTGTAGAACCGGAAGCGATTATTCCCGATACCCTAGCTCGTTTATCTTTTTATCGTTCATATTTTTAGGTAGATTATCATACTTTGTTATATCTTAGTTGATAATTTTCCAACCCAATCTTTTGATTAGTATGTTTAGGATTTATTTTTCTTTTATGTGTTATCGATACCAATACTAAATTCTGAACCGTCTTCCTTGAGAGATCGTCCCGGGAAACGAATCATTCGATTCGGTGTTCGGTAAATAAAAATAATTTGCTACAACAAATTTGGCGCCGTTTCCAGGGAAGGCAAGTAGGATATTTGGTTTTGGTATTGGTGTTATTTTCTGTGTTTCTCTTACTTTTGTGATATTGCTTAATTTCAGTGTTTTCTCTCAATTTTCTTATTTTCCGTTTCTCTTTTTTTTGGTATATTTTTGAAAAATCGTAAAAAAAAAAAAAAAATATTATATATATATTTCGTGGTTACGCGTGGTTGTTCTGTTCTTGTGTGCAGGGATTTTGAACAGAAGAATCAATGAACCCGAGCAACATGTTCCCCTCCTCGCAAATCCTTTACTGGAATAATAAGCCGAGCTACGGTTCGTGGGAGTATGGCCAGGCATGTGCCTTCCCTTACGAGCAACCGTGGTATCTGTCACCGTTCGAGCAATCATGTGAGTCCCCCATGGACTCCTCAGAGTACGATGCTAAGCTTGATCGGGTTCTCGATTTTCTAACCTCCCAAGCTGCCCGAATGAAAAATCTTGAGGCCGAAGTCGAGAACCTAGCGGAACGCATTCGAGTCTTGGAGGATCGAGTTTATGATTCTTCTCCCGATTCCCTCATGGTTAATGAACATCGGGGGAACGCTTTGACGGATGATGAAAAACTCGATCTCATTCTTGCTCATATGTCAGCCTATACAACTCGACTAGAGAAGATGGAGGTTGTATGCACTCGGTTGGTGGTGCAGCTTGATGGTATAATAGAACGCACTCAATCCGTCGAGCCACAAGTCAATGAGCCCATTAGCAATTTCTATCAGATTCACGAGGGCGAGACTGAAGACGAGAAAGATGCGCTCCCAGAGATCGAGAGTGATATTGTGATGGAGGAAACTCCTGTGCCCGAATTCGAGAGTCCCTCACTTGAGCCATCCCTCTGCACCATCGAGAAGACCCCATTTTGCTCAACATGCTCCACGGACACTCTCGTATTCCGAGAGATTGACTGTGGAGGATTGATGAGAAGAACTCTGGGTCATTCCGTTACCATCCTTGGTGCTTATGCTCGGTTCCACAAGAACATTGCCACCCGAGCCTACCAGGTCCGCAATCATGTCACCCTTCCCGTGTTGCTGCTTCTCGAGAATACGAAGGCGTGGCATGATCGACATTTCTTTCTAGATCCCGGCTGAGTTCCCCACAGGTTTCGTCAAGCTAATGACGTTAAACAAGCGCTTCTTGGGAGGCAACCTAAGTGATTTACTGCTTTCTTGTGTGTTTCGTTTATGCATTTTATTTTTATTTTTAAATAATGGGAGTTTGGAGTTCTTTGTGGTTTTTCTGGGCAGGACGTATAGAGGACCGGTTGATCGTGGGCAGACGGTTTGCACGTGAATGCTTATTTCCCTCGATGCTACTTCGGTTTGTACACCCCTTCTCTTTTCATCTTTGTGAGATTGTTTCATGTCTCTTCTTTTGTGTCTTTGTTCCTGTGTGCTAGTTACTAAATTGGTTTATCATGTGAAAGTGCTAAGTCTTGATATTTGAACTTCCCGGTTATGTATGGAAGCAATGAGGACATTGCTTCATTTTAAGTGTGGGGGAGTCGACTTGGATTTGGCGTGCTTATGTG